GAGGCGAATGGTAATAAAAATATAAAAATGAAAATAATCTTTTATCTCACAACTCTCGTAATTACGGCTTTTAGCGAGCATGAGGGAAGTGAATGGTGCTTCTCAAACGGAAGGCTGCATCCTAAAATTCAGATGATTTCACATTTATTTTCGTGAATTTAAATGTGTGCAGCCTTCGTAGGATGCAGCCTTCCGTTTGAGAGGCACCCATAGATAAGCTTCGTTGAACTGAAAAAGGCTCTGAATGAGGAGTCGATTCCCCTTTATGGAATCCCTTTCCAAAGGTTGGAATCGACTCTCGATTCCCAACGCCTCGGAATCGATTCTTTTTGGAATCGATTCTCAGCCCTAGTTAGAAGTACAGATGCGATGTGAAGATCCTGTGTAGTGAGGACGCTTAAATTTTGCTTGATTTTATATCAGTTTCACATTCCAGTTTCCAAGTCAGATCATAGTCTAAGAGACCCCATTTTAGCTACATTTTGACTAAATTTACCTTTACATCCTTTGTATTAGTGTAGAAAAAATTAAACTAAAATGGAAATTCTTGCATCACATACAAACTTGTATGAATAAGTCTGCACTGCCTTCTAGTGGCATTATATAAAACTACAATATATGGAGGAACGGCAACAACAGATCATCACCACACATCACTAATTTACAGCAGTCACAAAACCGTTCACACATATAAATGTGTCACAAATATGTATTGACATTGTGGTAGGATACATATAAAACTCATCTGCACCTGATACAAAAATGGAAGCTTTATATTAAAATTACTCGTTTGCGGCAAACTAGCCTAGTTTTTTATGTTTGTCTGCAAATGATCTGTTATATTGATCAAGCATTTCACAAAGGCGCGGGAAATTCTGTATGCCACTGAAATCAATACACTTTAATTTGGCCCATCTGTTGTTTTGGGAGACTATAAGCTTAAGTGGAACAATTATAATAAACAATAAAAATTACTCCGATAAAGAATAAGCCCATAAACCAATATTTGTACAAATAGTCTAACTTAACGAAATTAGAGTCGACTAACTAACAATGGTTTTGACATCAGATAGTGCTTCATGGCGAACTGAATTTCCAAACTAGCTAGCTAGGTCTTTGTATTGCAATTTTCTGTTATTTTCATGTTTGATATTTGTTTTATCTCAAGTAAAATACCACCAGACTACAAATGTGTGTCTGGAACTTGTCAAGACTTTAATATTACCTGTCTGACGGGTTTACTAGAGACTTTATTAATTACTCTGTGACGGTGCAAACTTATAAGATGAAACCCCCTTGAATGCCGATTCACCTAAAATATTTATTTACCCAACATTACATAAATACTCATACCGGTATTATGAACATTGCCAAACAATTTGAGAACGTTCTAACAGTGAGAAATAAATAAAAATAAAAATAATAGAAGTTTCGCGAGTCAGACGTCACGTAGATGCGTGACGTAAGTTAGTGATCTAAAGAAAGAACATGGCGACTGACGAGGATTCGGAAGATTATTTTGTTAGAGAAATAGAAAAAAATGACGGGTCTGTTTTAAGAATATATCAGTGCAGCAGAGGGGACGTGGGCTGTGTAGTATGGGACGCTGCTATTGTCCTGTCAAAATACCTCGAAACGGAACAATTTTACAGTGTTCAGTCTCGTGTTAGTACGTGGCGCTCCAAGAACATTGTTGAACTGGGCGCTGGAACAGGACTCGTGGGTCTCGTGGCTGCAACTCTGGGGTGAGTTATAAATTCTGTCATATGAACATGTCTATTAAATAATAATAATTCTTAAACAACCTTAATAGAGAAAAAAATCAATCAATCAATAAGATGTGATATGTCGTCATTTAATTTGCTAAAGAAAATGTATGTTCTGAAAGTTGTATGTTAGGATTTTGATTCATTCCTCTTTGTTCTGGTAATAAATATAATGCTCAAATGTGGTTCATTTAAAAGTATATTAGTAATGTGAATAATGTGCACCTTTAGGGCAAATGTCACAGTGACAGATCTGGAAGACCTGCAGCCTCTCCTTCAACTAAACATTAAGAAAAATCAGCATCTCATCCACACAGGCTCAATCACAGCAAAGGTACTGAAATGGTTTGTACTACATTACTACAGTCAATATATATATTTGTCCAAATTCACTGGGTTGCCACCACATGATAGCTACCATGATCACATGACCATAGTTCATCCACAAATGAAAATTCGGTCATCATTTACTCATCTTTATGTTTTCCTAATCTGTATGACTAGCTGTGCTACTGTACAATGAAATATTTTATTTAATTAAAATGAATGAAATAATGACAACTTCTGAAACCTTTTCCTTTTAAAAGGGGAGGAAATGTCAAAGAATTTCTACCTCATTCTCATTATATTCTGATGGCCGATTGTATCTACTATGAGCAGGTACTGTACCTATGAATATTACACAATAATTATTTATTTACTTTTCTTACATCTAAATCCTTTGTTACCAATACAGCAATAGTTAGCTCTACAGTAGAGAATAGTTAACAGTACTAGGTTTAATAGCCTCATCAGTAATATTATTTAATATTAATATTTAATATTCCACAGTCAGTGGAACCACTAGTAGAGACTCTGAAACTCTTGGCTGGACCAGAGACGTGTATCATCTGTTGCTTTGAGCAACGCACTGTTGGTGTCAATCCTGAGATAGAGAAGAGATTCTTTGAGGTAAGAGAATCAAACTGTAAAACTCTTAAGGGTGTGTTCACACTTGTAGTTCGGTTCGTTTGGCTCGGACCAAAAAAAGAAAACAATACATTTGGTCCTGGTCCACTTAGCATTCACACTGGCATTTATGACAGCGAACCTAAAGGCATAGTGATACGTTCACAACCTGATTGGTCGGGTTGAATGATGTATATTTCGTGACGGAACTCACTGAACACCCTAAACAAAAGGAGTGTTCGACTTAAAGCGGCGCTGCGCAGATTGATCGGTGTATGACATCAAAGTACCCATTCACCGATCGGTCTGCGCAGTGCCGCTTTAAATCGAACACACCTAATGCCGTCTGCCGGACTAAGCGTGCTCAATGCTGCGTGTACTTATGATTTTATTTTCACCACCTGCAAACTCATGAAGAGCTCATAAAAGGCACTTTACCTCCTCGTTGCTCCACGTTTGCCCTCTGCTCGTTTTGTTTTGGATACACCGCTCGTTCCGCGTCATGTTGCATAGCGTCGCATCTTGTCATTACTTCCTGTTTTTGGTTCGTTTAGAAGTTTTTGGTCCGTGATGCGTTCATATTTCATTCGAACCGCACCAGAGTTCGTTTGGAAGCGGACCGAGACCCATCTTTTTAGCGGTCTCAGTCCGCTTATTTGGTGCACACCAGGGTTTGGATGGCAGCGTTCACACTTACACAAATGAACCGCACTAACAGAGCAATCGCACCAGAGTTCATTTTAATCGAACCAAACATGACAAGTGTGAACACACCCTAAATCTTCACTTTGTCATATTTAGTGGCACAAGTTAATGAGAGTGTGTTTGACCTGTTGGTCCTTTAGCTCCAAGTAATGGTAGATTTTATATATTTGTTGTATGAGTAAAAACCCAATTAAATGCATCCCCATGCTGAATCTGCTACTGTCTTTTTCCTCATGTAATACTCTGTTTCACAGCTACTTCTGCAAGAATTCCAGTCAGAGATGATCCCATCTGAGAAACAAGACCCTGAGTTCAACAGTCCTGACATTCACATGCTCCACCTGCGACGAAGAGTCCACTGAATGCCTTATGAGCTCTTCTGTTTGGGTTGTATGTGTTTGTGTTTCAGTGGATTGTGTTGTTGTTGGTCAGATGTTCAACACTGAACCATATGAATACAAACTATTTTTAAGTGCTTATGTGGTTTGGGAGGTTGGCCTTAATGTGAGCTTAAGTGTCTTTTTAGACAAACAAGTTAAAGTGAATGGTTGTGTGCACCTGTGTTAAACTGGCAAAAATAAATCTCAAATGTGTTTTTTTACATACCGATTAAGAGAATGTTAACCTGAGTGTGATCTGTGAATAAACACTTTCTAAAATGATCAAAAAGTAAGCATGTGATTTGTGTTGTTTCAGCCTCTTTTACAGCAGGATCAGTTTTGTCCATTGTCATTCTGCGTCACTGAATGCATTACTTTAGGGATGGCAAAGTTGTGGTTGCAGTTTACAGTGGAGATGTTTATGATTAGTAGAATCTTTCATAATTTCTTAAAACTTAAGTAACTAAAGAGCTACATCTGGACTCAGACATACTTTGAAATTTCTTATGAAATTCAGGGAAAAGTAATACATTTAGAAATTGCTGTTGAGATTTAAAGCATCTGTTTATTTAATTATTAGATTCTTCATAATGTTTTTTATTTAAACATTTAAGTCCTTTACAATTTCTCCTTTGAGTTTGGTGTAATTCAGTGATTCCAACTTGGGGCACTTGGAAACATTTTTATTCTTATTTGTTAAATCTATAAAATACAAATTATGGCTTTAAAATAAACATTTTAGGAATTTATTTTATTGTGAAAAGTATACAGTTAAAGTACAGTACTGTGCAAAAGTCTTAGGCCATTAGTATTAGTAAAGAAATCTTTTCGCTGTAGTGTGTAGGAAATATCAGTTTACATTTCCAAACATTTCTTTCGCCATTGTAGTAATCCAGTTAGATTTTTGTTAGCACAAGGAGTCTGACAACAGGCAGTGATCCACACAGAGATCTGATGATCTCACCATCAACCAGTCCGTCTGGAATTACATGAAAAAACAGAGACAGACTAAATCCAGTAGAACTGTCAACGTCTCCAAGATGCTAGAAGAAACCTACCTGCAAAGCCACAGTACTGTGAAAAGTTTTAAGCACTTGTGTAAAAATACTGTGTAAAAATACTGTAAAGTGAGGGTGCTTTCAAAAATGTCATAAATAGATTTTATTTATCAGTTAACTTCTATTAACTAAATCAAATCAACATTTGGTGTGACCAACCTTTGCATTTAAAACAGCTTTTGTCCTAGGTGCACTTGCGCATAGTTTTTCGGGTAGGTTTGCAGGTAGGCTTCTTCAAGCATCTTGGAGACGTTGACACCGTTCTTCTGGATTTACGTAGTCTGTCTCAGTTTTTTTTCTGTTTCTTCATGTAATCCCAAACGAACTGGATGATGGTGAGATCATCAGATCTCTGTGTGGAGCACTGGCTGTTGTCAGACTCCTTGTGCACACAAAAAGGCATTATCACGGCATTATTCCAATTAATGGCAAAATAAATGTTTAGAAATGTAAACTGATATTTATACTGACACACTACAGCAAAAGATAGAAATAACTGACTTAAAACCATTTTTTGTTGGTGAAAATACAAATGGCCTAAGACTTCTGCACAGTAGTGTGTATATATATATATATATTTGGGATAGTCTTTGGGATAAAAATGCTAATAGGACTTAGCATTTTTTAGCTGTGCCAAAATGATAGTGGAGTCAATATCAGGAACTTGTCCAAATGCTAATAATAATGCTGAACAGATTCTGTATTCTTCAACTGATTCTACTTCGGACCACCTGATCTTACCTGGTCTCCCCCCTTCTACTCAAATATGACATTGATTTAAAATAATGCATGGACTGAATTAAGTGGTGTTACGTGGGAACGTGACAGAGGACTGTGAAGAGATCAATCGTTTAAGCTTCTATATTTTCATGATCTCATATACTGTAAATTTAACTTTTTTAAGGATTAGTCAGATGCAGGTTCTTCATTAAATCTTAATTATATAAACAGTATTTACTGGTTTACCAACATTCTATGTTCAGACTTGGGGCTATATTTGGTGGAAATTACTGTTACGCAATTTACAGGTGGGAGGAAAAACCTTTTACTCATAACACTGCACCCTTTTCTAAAAACAGCATTCGGTCAGAACAGAATTCCAGAGCCTAGGGCAGTACAAAGAGAATAAGTCGAAAGAGAAGACTGCTCATTTAGGTGAACTCCCGGAGTTGTCATTGTATCTGGGAAGGTAAAGTATATCATTTATATCTTTAGAATTGAGTTTAACTGCTAATTATAAGTCTGCAAATAACTGTAAAAAATATGACTGTAAATGTCTCCCCCGCCCCCCCAAAAAGTCGACTTTTCAAAAAGAAAAAAATGCCTCCACCTCGTTTGAACCACCAAAAACTCAGGAATGAATCCACCGCAAAAGACAAAACAGGCACTCTCGACATCCCTTTGAAATTCTTGGATCAGGACTACCAGGAGCTGCAGAAGAGCTGTATCACCAATAAAAAGAGATTTGTTGATGACAAGTTCCCTCCAGACAGCAGCTCCATTGACCCAAAGAAGAAACTTAAACTGGATCTGGACCAAATCAAGTGGTTGAGGCCATCAGTAAGTTACCTGTATTGACTTTCTATCTTCAGACTTTCAGTAACTTTCAAAAAGAGTTCAAAGTACACAGGCATTATTGCTTGAAAGAATTCAAAAGCACTTGTTGAAAATAACCTGCCATCAAGTGTTGCAAAATGTTTCTTTGGGCTTGTCAGAACAGGTTCACTATTGTGGCAAGACATCTCAAGTGTCATGAAAGCAGACCCAAAGTACATTCTATGAGAAAATGTCGTCTTCTGGTATTCATAAATCCCTAGGCTGAATATTATTGCATAATTTATTTATTTTCTCTCTTTAGAACATAGTGGCAGACCCTCAGCTCATTGTAAAGGAGGTGTCCAGGTTTGACTATTCCCAAGGGTCTTATTTAGGTATGTTTAATAATGTATTTATTTAGTAGGCACTGGCTTTTAAATGATACCAACCCAATAAATAATGTCACTGTATATACACCAAAAAGACTTATGAACTCATTGAAATATCTATTTCTTTAATATTTGTGCCTTTACCTCAGGAAACTGCTGGTTTCTTGCTTCAGTTGGGGCTTTAACATTTCAGAAGGACATCATGACCAGGTCATGCCAGCTGACCAGTCATTTGGCAAAGATTATGCAGGGATATTTCAATTCAGAGTGAGTAATTTGGTCTTTTTCAACATAAATTGAATAATTTTTTTTTAAAATCACGTATCAGTCATTAAGCCTTATGTTCTGTATATTCTTAGTTCTGGAGGTTTGGCAAATGGATTGAAGTTGTCATTGATGACAAACTGCCAACAATCAATGGAAAGCTCATTTTTGTTCATTCAAAAACATCTAATGAGTTTTGGCCTGCCTTACTGGAGAAAGCGTATGCCAAGTAGGTGCCAGTATGTTGTGGAAAAAATATTTTCATTTCCATTGAACATAAAAATATGCTTTTACCATAAGAGTTTATGACCCTTATTATATGTTTCGTGTGTATCACATTAGAATTTAATCCCTAAGAATCCAACATTATAAGCATGTTTGCAATGCCTTTTACAGGGTGTGCGGCTCCTATGCTGACATGCATGCTGGTAGTGTATCTGAGGCTCTGTTGGACTTCACCGGTGGCGTCCATGTGTACTTCAAACTGAAAAAAACGTCCACTGATTTGTGGAGCCTGATGGACCGTGCAGCCAAAACAAAGGCCCTGATGGGTTGCAGCACTTCTCAAGGGGTAAGCAGTTCCAGTGTCCTCAGACTGAAGCTTTCATTATTGTGACATATGAATTAAATATAAACAGCAGCAAGGAACAATGCAAAGCACTGGTTATACGTAAAACCATATTTATCTCTGTGTCATTACTGATATATTATTTTTTATCTATATATATATATATATATAGATAAAAAAAAATATATCAGTAATGACACAGAGATAAATATGGTTTTACGTATAACCAGTGCTTTGCATTGTTCCTTGCTGCTGTTTATATTTAATTCATATGTCACAATAATGAAAGCTTCAGTCTGAGGACACTGGAACTGCTTACCCCTTGAGAAGTGCTGCAACCCATCAGGGCCTTTGTTTTGGCTGCACGGTCCATCAGGCTCCACAAATCAGTGGACGTTTTTTTCAGTTTGAAGTACACATGGACGCCACCGGTGAAGTCCAACATATATCAGGACACATCTGCAAACACAGTATTACCCAATGGTATCGTTCAAGGCCATGCGTATACAGTGACAGAGGTTTTCAAGGTAAGTCTTCACAGAATTAAATGTCATTTAAATGTCTTTGTCTCCCGGTGCAATTTCCCATAGCTGAGTTCCCCTGTTATACAGCCGGCTTTTGATGTTCCTGGGTCTGGAGCGGATTCTCCTGTTTTAGCCATGCCATGGTATGGAGCTTTGCTCTCACGTCCAGCAATTACTGAATTTTGTTCTTGAAAGTCCCTCCTCCCAATTCTCTTTAAGGATGTCAAGCACACAGCACAGTCAACATCCATAGAGCAGCTTGAATGGGTAAAACCCAGTGGAAGCTTGAAGAACCTCTCAGACTGTGAATAGCGAGCTCAAGCCACATCCCAAGTTCTAACTTCCTCTTGAACTTACAAATCATATATTCATGTCTGATTAATTTGTTCAACCAGCCCATCAATTTGGGGAAGGTGAATGCTTGTATGAATCAACTTAATTCCTAACAATTCAAAGATTCATACAGTCAATTCATTCAAATGGTCCTCAACCAGCTGAACCGCCTGCTCTAGTAACGTGGAGTGATGAGACTGGACCCCTTCCGCCATTTGTTCTGAAAGTTGTGGGGTAAATCATTCCATCACCACCAGGTCAATTATTGCCACCACGTTGCGTGACTCTGTCAGCGAAAGTCCAGGCATCCTGGAGCCGTTGAGTGTAGGCAAATGGGTGGCCGCTTTCTATGAAGGCTAGGGATCGGTACTTCTGTCAGTGTTGTTCTGGGCTGCAAGGGACCCACCCATTGCCGAATAGCTCTTTTGAAGTCATCATATGCCAGGAGGATCCCCACCAGCAATTGTTGGTCCACCAGTTGGGCTTCCCCAGACAGAAGCATGATCAGAGTCTGCTTGAAAAGCTTGAGGAAGGCCTCTCCATCATCCTGAGGCCCTATCTTCAACATGATCAT